ATGCTGCGTATTTCTCGGATTCCTTGAGGATTCATGGGTAGTCCTCAAGCGCCGCATTAAAGCTGGTACGAGTTGACTGGAGCATGAGTGGTCGCGGGCGTCTGCTGAAGTTTAGAGTCTTTTCCTCCCTCGAGGTAAATGTTGCCTCTCCGCCTTCCACTGGTACGTAATACGCCTCAGCTGCAGCTGTCTACGTTGTGCTCATCGCAGTGCAATTTCCTTGCAAAGACCTGTGCAAACATGGGTCGACTTGGGTTCTTTACATCGAGATGGAACAGCGTTGCGATGCGGACACCGACACGAGTCCACATAAATTTGTCCAATTATCTGTTGTATTATGGCGCGGGTACCGCCTCACTTGAGCATGCCATCGCTCTGGCGCTTATTACCCTTCTCATAGTGTCCTCGTGGCATGATCATCGCCCTGACGAACTCGAGAATAGGACAAAGTGCTGTCGTTTCGGACGACCTTCTGCAGCTATCTTCAGCGTCTAGATACTGCTATTCACGAGACGGCATAGCTCCCAGATTCTTCGGCGGCTTTCTTGGATATTTAAACTGAGCGTCCTGTCTGACCCCCACCAACCCATTTCGCGATTTAATCCGCCATGTCTAGAAGCTACTTCGGACGTAACAAGACCAAGGGCTCACGTTCCTCCTCCGAGAGCTACCAGAGTCTCCCCAACGGAAGCTCTGATGCTCCCGGTGGACCGACCGATGACCTGAACAACAGCGAGTATGCTAGAAAGCTGAATGAGCTCATGAAGGATCTCAGGGCTTTGGGGTGCGTATGCTGTCTTGCTATTCCGATCGAGTGCTGACTGACTCACCGACTTGTAGAGCCCAGAGTCTGCTGCAGCTCCCGAGAATTGCTGTTATTGGTGGACAGTCAGGTATGGTTTATGTCGTATACTCTTCAGTATATCATCAACATGGACTGTAGCGGGCAAGAGCTCCCTGGTCGAAGCTATCGGCGGCGTAAGTCATCGAATGTACCCATTACGACAGCAAAAATTGATATATGTTCAGATCAACGTCCCCCGCGACAGCGGTACTTGCACTAGGTATCTGAGTTTCTCATCTTCTGGTTCTGAAGAGACATTAACGACCCGTCGTAGATGCCCCATGGAATGCACCATGCACTCCACCGAAGGTGCCTGGTCCTGCCAGGTCAGCTTGCGCTTCGATTATGACCAGCATGGAAACAAGCTGTCGCAACCACTGAATCATCCATTCGGGTCTCCCATTACGGACAAGAAAGACGTGGAGATATGGCTGCGGAGGGCGCAGGCCGCGATTCTGAGTCCCGGTACTGCATCTGCGACGTTCTTCGGCTGGAGTCGCGAGCAGACACGCGACGCCATCAAGAACGATGCAAGTATGCAGAAGTTCTCGAAGAATGTGGTTTGCGTAGACATATATGATCCGGAGGGGACAGAGCTGTCCTTTGTGGACTTACCAGGTTCGAGTGTTGTGATTTTCTTTATATAATATTGCTGAGCCTGATCGCGCCTCGGTTTTGCAGGGCTGATTCAGAATGGAGAAGGGATAGAGCTCATCAGAGAGCTGGTCGTGACTTATATTGCCGAGGAGACTACGTTTATCCTAGTCGCAATGCCCGCCGGAGGTGAGTCTCGATTTTGTGAGTCGGGGATCTGAACTCAAGGCGCTGCCAGATGATATCCAGAACCAGCAGGCCTTGAAACTGGCTGCCGAAGCTGACGCAGAGGGTATCCGGACCATTGGTATTGTCATCCATTTCCATACTATTCTCAATATCACGACTTGATGACTGCCAGGCGTCGTAACGAAGCCGGATACCCTGGCTGAAGGCGATATCGGCCTGAAAGAACGCTGGAGGAAGGTATTCAGCGGCCACGCGGAGGACCATCACCTGCATCACGGGTACTTCTGCGTGCGCCTTCCTAACGATGTGGAGCGGCTGCAGACCGGCACTCGGGCGGCGGTCCAAGACCGCGCGCAGCAGTTCTTCGATACCAATGAGCCGTGGAAAGGCGTTGTCGATCGATCGAGGCTCGGGATCCCTGATCTCGTCGCGTATGCGAGCGATTTGCTGATGGCATGTATTCATAAAGAGTACGTCGCTGTCACCGTTCTATGTATGTGTCCTGATCCACCGCGCCTATAGGCTTCCGAATATTAGGAACAGGGTGCAAGAGCTACTCGCCGCGAGCCGCGCCAGTCTCGCACGACTGCCAGCTCCTCTGCAGAGAGACGCGTCTGCGGAGATTGTGGATCGGATCACACAGTTTTGCAGGAGCTTGAGCGCTGTTGTTGATGGGAACAGCGAGAACAAAACATTCGTTCAGCGCAATAGGGCGACGTATGACTGGTTCAAGATTGCGATCAGAAGTACTGCGCCGGATTTCAGGCCCTTTGAGGATCACACGAAGTACCAACGTCCTTCGGACCCGCTCGGAGAGGGCGAGACCGAGAAGCATGTCCATGCTGTTGAAGGGGTCGAACAGTACCCGACTATGGATCTGCATGGAGTGCGGAAAGTCATCCAGGAGTAAGCTTTTGTTTGTGTCGCCCTGGATGTGGCTGACGGCGGCGATTTACAGATGCAAAGCTTGGGAGCTCCCATATAATGTCCCGTACGACTCGAAGAGGGTACTGATCAGAAGGTTCATCGACCTCTGGCGCCAGCCGACCGAGCGGTGCCTCGACCGGACGTGGACGATTCTGTCAGAGACTGCGAGAGCGCTGTTGGCGGAGCATTTTGGGCAGTTCAAGGGCTTGCAGGCGCGTATCGGGTGAGTAGGATTGGTGCTCGTTGATTACGTCCGCGGCTCATGTGTGTTTTGGAAGGGAGTACGTGTTTGAGAACTTGGAAGAGATAAGGACGAGCACGGTCGAGTTTGTGATTGATAGTTTGGACAGCGAGAGGGCGCCGTTTTACACGGACAACACGCACTACTATAGCTCGGCACGGAGCAAATGGCTGTCCCACTACCGGCGCGTTAAGCGGTGGCCATCTTCGTCCCTTGAAGGACAAATATATGAAGAATTACCACCGCAAGTTATACAGAACGCGCTTCAGGCGCTCCGCCGTCTCGGGTACGGTGAACTTGAGCGCAAAGACCTCGAGCGCCTGCACCCTCCGGACGCCTTCGACGAGGAGATGGTCGTCATGGCAGACGTGCGCGCGTACTTCCAGGTCGCTTACAAGGTTAGCTTTTCCCCTACTTCCTGCACGAGCTCGTGCTCACGCTTGGTAGCGCGTCATTGATTTTATCCCGCTTAATATCGAGAACAAGATGAATCGCGGTGCGGCGGCGGGGATGCAGGCGTACCTGTTTGAGCGCACGGCGATGGGCGCGGGGGAGGGGTTGAGGAAGCTTGTGGTGGAGGATGGGGAGGTGGCGGCGAGGAGGGTGGAGGTGATGGGGAGGATTGAGCAGTTGAGGAGGATACAGGGGAGGTTGAACCAGTTTGGGATTTGAGGGGCGAGTGGGGTTGAGGTGGACGATGTACGGTTCTTGTGGAAATCTGGAGTTTGTGGCAGCACGACGTGATGGTATTTGCGCCTTCGGTTGCGTAGGACGTCGGACGCCTGAAATGTGTGGCATTCTCTACTATTACAACGTTTGTCGGATGCGCTTGGCTGAGGTTACCGATAATACAACTTTGCGGTACACTGCGCTACTCGTACAAGGTTGGCATCAGCTTACTGCGCTCCCGCACCGGACTTTCTCCTGGATACCGAGTCAGCTTATACCGGACACCTAAAATCGAAGGAGACGCACAGCTGATACGCGGCCGCACCAAAGGGCAGGCAGAGGCTCGTGGTGCAGAAGACGAATACTTTGGCGCGTAGGGCGGCTTTGTTGCGGTACGAGAAGGGGAAGGTGTACTGCGGATTGGTTAGTGCGCAGGATGGGACGAGGAAGAGGTGGGTACGGACGGGGTAGACGACGGAGACTTCTTTGTGCGCGAACCGGCGCCCGAGGGCTAAGGGGGCGCGGGGGAGGGAGGGGCGGGGTGAGGAGAGCATTGTGGGGAGGTAGAGGGAGAGGTGGTAGAGCGAGCGTCTCGTGGTTATATATACGGTGTCTCACACTATTCATAGACGGGCCACGGGACCACGTTCTTAGCTTCTCTGGTCATGGTGTTCGTACAGTGTGATGTGGCGAATTTGTAATGAGTTGCAGCAATAGGGTACAGCGACGTTTGCGGATGTAGTCGAGGAAGGAGGGATGTACAGGACTCAGCTCGTTTAGCGTCAAGTTCAGGTATATGAGCAGCATTACGACTACCTCGTTAAGCCACAGGTCGTCTTAGAGAACCACGCCAGCGTCCACGAGACCGGAAAGCAGCGAAGCCTGTTCAGAGTCGATCAGCCAAGTCCAGTCATATGAGTCCGTGACCATCTGCGATGATGTCATCGTAATAGAGTACGCCGCCAGAGTGGACCAATTCGAGTTTTGAATTCATACCGCAATGCCGACGTGCACAGATGGCGGAGGGTAGCGACGCTGCGAGTCTGAGGGAAGTGCCAGACCGAGTCGACGTTAATGCGATCGCGACCTCGAAATATCATTGGATTGCGTCTGCAGCCAGGAGACTTGGGAAAGGCACAGCCGAGGCTCGCCATGAATAAAGAGAGCACCAGATGCGGTACGATATCCGCAGTGAAACCTGGCTGCGGCGAGGGAAGTGCGAGAGACCGGGGGTGGTAAGAGCGCCTCTACGTCGAGCTTCGAAAACTTGACGCGACGCTTAGGCAGGCGGAGGGATGAGGGATGGTAGCATAGATCGCATAGGGTGGACGATGTCTGCGATGATAAGGGGAAGAGGAAAGGAAAGCTGAGAAAGTGAGAGGCAAGGAAAGCCTCCGGTATTCTCCGGCATGATGATGCCTGTATGAGCACATAGATGGCGGATACAACAGTTGAAGAGGGCGTGGATAGGTATTCCGAGGCAAGAATACGGCCAGATATCTTATGCAGGAAGAAAAAGATCAGTGTACACGTGCATGCCACCTACCCGGATCGAACGAGTGATCTCTCCGTTGCTGCCCGGCGAAAGCCGGCGATACAAGCGGAGCGCCGTAACCACTTAGCCAAGGTGGCATTTACTCAGTCACGCAAGCTAATTATTATAGTACGCAACTCTCTACAGAGACTTTAATTCATGACACACTGGACCGTCCGTCGCCTGATCATGATATCGCCGACGCTCCTCTACCACTGTCGCTGGACTCGCCCAGTTCCAGCCTCCCGCTAGTCGCAATCCAGAATCCCGCCGCAGGTCGCATGACCTCGACCGACGAACAGCGCTCTGGATCCTCGGCTCCGCTCTCTCTGGTACTCGGCCGCTGTCTGAAGTCCCCCCACCATCAGCTGTCGATTCAGAGCACGGTGGTCTATAGACCCCTGTTGGTGATGCATACTTGATGTTGAGAGCTGCTCGGGACTACCACCCCAAGTCAATACAAATTGTGGATTTCTAGCCCGCCTTTCGCGCCGTACTGGACTCTACCCAGCCAGACCGAGGCTATGTTATCACCCATAATGAAGTTAATGAATTCTCATCCGTGGCGGGAGAGTGGGGTATAAAGGCGGGGTAATTTGTCTCGGACAGTCAAGTTGCGAATACGCGTACGCACTGGTCGTCCCCAACCCATTTTCGAGTCCGAGAGAAGATGCTTTCCGCTGCGCGCTCAGGTATACCCCGTATCGGGAGACGGTACACGCATCAGATGACAAAGGTGGTGTACCCGGTACGTTCCTTCTCCCTCTCCTTCCCTCCTCCTGCCCTCTCATATCGCGCCACTCCCGCGTCCCCGACCGAACACTAACCCGTACGCACCAGCACACCACCCCCTTCAGCTACTCCGACAAGACGCTCTTCAAGCTCAAATTCTTCACCTTTTGCGCGACAGGCTTCTCAGTGCCATTTATCGCGGCCACCTACCAGCTGTGCGTGTTTTCTTCCTCCTGGGCTTGTATTGGGGCTGATGCAAGCGGGCTTGGTATAGGAAAAAGTCGGGCGCGGGGTCGCAATAAGGAGAAGGGATGTTTAGGATGGGAAGTGTATTGCGTTGTTTGTATTATAGGATGAGTTACGAGGACTATGACTATCGATCGCCGATTGGAGCCATGCTCGCGAGATGGGGTATACAGAGCAAGGCTGTCACGGGCTCCTGCCATCATTCCTTCCCTCTTGTCGAGCCTCGAAGTGATATCGGGTCGACACATCTGCCTCTGGACTGTGCTCCGCTATTATCGCCGCCTTTTGGGTTTCGGCCAAGCATACACAGGCATCCGCGCCATTGATGAACGTCCCAGCTGAGCACACCATTCCGCGTACGCCACCTACCGACATGTGCGTTCGCGCCGGCACTCAAGTCCGTCTCCAACCTGCATGCCTTGTGCGAGTGGGATACCACCGAGTCTAACTACGCTTGCCGCCGCTCTTAACATCATCCCAGAGGTAGCCACATCGAACATGAAAACTATCGCGACAGCGGCAAGATCGGGATCGAGACTGCCAGAGATCCGCGGGACGATCTGCGGTACGCACTCCCAACGTCGACTTGCACATGGAGAGGCTGTGGTATTAGTCGGTCGACTCAGACGGAGCAGGCGTATGAGATGTTTGTTGCGGCTGCGGAGCATAACGCGTCAGTACTCAGTTCCGGTCTATGCAGACGGTGGGCCAACGCGATGGAGTGTCGGGCAAGACAGTAGGAGAAAAGAAGGGCAGCCTTTCGAATTCACAGAAAGAAAGCATTGCCGCGATATAGAGGACGACTCGGTATTTCTCGGAATATGAACCAAGCGCAATATATACACCTATTCGGGGCGGGGTGCGTCCCACCACTCGTTACACTGCACATCTCACCAGGTACACAGAAACCACCCGGTGTCCACGTCCGGACCGAGTCGCAGCACTTGGTCGGTACTCGCCTCACAGCCTACTCCGCATCCACCGGATTCCACGTGATCGCGCCCGCCTTGCCCCTGTCGAGCGCATCCAACCTCTCCATATCCTCCTGCGCGATTTCGAAATCGAAAACCTGCGCATTCGCCACGACGCGCACGGAATTCGCGGATTTCGGGAGCGGGACGAATCTGCAGTGAGCCCCGTCTCGAATCAGGGTGTTCGTACGTAGGGTGGTGTGGGTGAGGAACGTACCCGCGCTGCAAGCTCCAGCGGAGGACGATTTGCGCTGGGGTCTTGGCGTACTGTGATGGGATTCGTATAAGGAGGGAGAGTCGTGTCGAGGGAGGGACGCACTTTGGTCGATGTAGAGGTGATGGCGGGGTCGTCGAGCTTGCCGCGGACGAGCGGGCTGAAGGCTTGCACGGCGATGTTGTGCGCTCGGCAGTAGTCCACGATGGGCTGTTGCTGGCAGAAGGGGTGCAGCTGGACGGTGGCGATGAGCATTAGTTGACATGGGTGAATGTGATGGAAGTGTACCTCGATCTGGTTCACAGCAGGTAACTCGAGCCCCGCCTCGCGGATCTCCTCGATATGCTTCGGCGAGCTGTACGGCGCGCGTGAACCTCTACGCGCAGGCGCCCAGAGCAGACGCACTAGTTTGATACTCCGATGCTTTTCAGCTTGCCCGCTTTCTTGGCGTGGAGAAGGGCTTTGTACGTCTCGAGACGCTTGGCCTTGCCCGAGCGCGGGGAGTGGATCAGGAAGAGGTCGAGGTAATCTGGACGGAATGTAAGATCGGGAAGGATACAAAGCTTGGTGGGAAACACACCAAAACCGAAATTGTGGAGAGAGTCCTGGACGGCTTGGAGCGTCGCCTCGTAGCCATGCTCGGACTCGAATACCTTTGACGCTGAGCAGGGTTTATCAACTCGGGCCGGGGAAGCTGGACATGTAAGTTCACGCACTGACGAAGACTTGGTCCCTGGGGACGCCGCTCTCCCTGATAGCCTTGCCCAGCGGCGCCTCGTTCTTATAGTGCCGCGCAGAGTCGATCTGGCGGTAGCCGTGCTTCAGCGCGGCGAGCACAGCGGGCGCGGGGTCCTCGTTCAGCGCCACGCCCAACCCGAGGACTGGCATCGCGTTGCCTTGAAATCCGGGGCGGTTTCGAAGGACGGAGATGTTTGGATGAGGATAAGGGACGTACCGTCTAGCAACTTTACGGTCGAGCGGAGGGACAGGGTGGAAGTCATGGTTAGATGGTGAAGCTGCAAAGTGCGGTTGGGTCCTTATAAACTCGATGCTGACTCGGTAGCGGGGATTTCATCATGATGGGCCGGTTCCGCACCACATGAACGGAGACTCTGAGCCGCCAGGATTCGTACTATAAGTTGCCGATGGCGCAGAGGCTGCAAGTGAGAGTAAGTGATAGTAGCGGCTGAACGGTAGGCAGTATAGGGATCATTAATATTGTTGAAGCAATATATTAGATGGACGCAGAATGAAAGTGGCAAAGAGTGCTGCCGTAATGATTTGCAAGAGACGCCGACATATATGTGCTTCACGGATCACGGACCAAGATAACGTACTTCACTCTATTATAGATATTTACACATGCCCCCACAAACACAGAAACGCTCACTTCGTCCTCTTGTAGATCTTATCCAAAAACACCTTGAACACCTCCTTCTTCAGCACCGGACTCCCATCCGCCGTCGGCGTCTCCGGGATCTGCTCAATAAGCCCCATAATCTTCTTATACGCGCCCTCCTCGTACGCCGCATACCGCTCCCGGATCTGCAGCTCCTCGTACACCGCCTTCACCGCCCGCTCCTTCTCCGCGTCCTTGCGCCCGTAGTTGGCGTCGAGCACCGCGCGCTGCTCCGGCGAGGCGAGCGCCAGCGCGGTGTTGACGCACCAGCTGCACTTGTTGTCGAGGATGTCCGTGCCGACCTTGCCGATCTGCTCCGGCGTGCCCGCGAAATCGAGAAAGTCGTCTTGCACTTGGAAGTACTCGCCCAGCGGGATGAGGATGTCCTGCGCGGCTTTGTAGGGGTCGAAGGAGGAGGAGGGGGAGGAGGAGGAGGGGATCCCGCACATGTGCATGGCGAGCGCGACGGGGAGGTGGAAGGAGTAGTATGCAGTTTTGTAGACCACGATGAGCCGGTGCCGTTCGAGAGAGAACTTGGAGAGGTCGACGTGGTCCTCGGGTGCCGTGATAAGGTCCAGCAGCTGGCCCACCTCGGTCAAGTACGTGATCTGCGGACACGGCTGAGTGAGTTATCGTGTACAGAGAAAAAAGCGGCGCACGTCGTGGAAGAGGTCGAGCAGGTCGACGTAGTACGCCTCCTGCCGGAAGTGCTTCTTGAGCAGAAAGTAGATCGCGCTCTCGAGCATGAACGAGTCGTTGATCGCGAGCAGCCCCACGCCCTCGACGCGGAACCAGCACGGCTGCCCGCGGCGCGTCACAGACTGGTCCATCATATCGTCCGACACCAAGAAGAACGCTTGCAGCTACACCCACATCAGCCTCCTCTCCCTCTCCCCAAGTAAGATATCCACGCACCAGCTCGACGCACCACCCCAGCAGCGCCGCCTTGAAATACTCGTCCTCCGTCAGCTCCCGCCCCTTCAGGATCGCGACCGTATCAACGACCGACAGCCCGCGGTTCAGCTTCCCCCCGGGCGTGTTGTACTCCAGGTTGCGCTTGTACCAGCTGATCGCGTCCGGGGGCATCCCCTTAGCCGTGAAATCAGCCATGATCTCGTCCCGCAGCGTCTCAAACACCCCGTCGAACCGCTTCCGCGCAGCCTGCTTGCTCGTGCCGTTCGCCTGCAAGTCGAGTGAGCCCCCCTAACGTAGAAAACGCAGGCAGTACGTGCCTTTGCCGCAACCTCTGTCTTGATCATCGGACTGGGAGCCATGGTGGTGGTGGGATGAGGGGGATAAATGGAACAATAGCGGGCCTAGAGAGGACAGAGTCTTATATACAGCAGCCCTGAAGAGTGGTGCCACGATGTCTCACTATGTTATTGGGTCTTCGCGGCCGCCTAAAGTGCGGCCGTCAGAATCGGACGTCCATCCCTGACTGCGTCTCAGTACAGCCTGCATATCTCCTTACGAACGCCGCCAGTACAGGGAAGCTGCCAAGAATGCACGGTGCGATGAGCGGTGATTGTTCGATTG